GGACCCGCCACCCGCACCTGCTGACACACTGCGAGGGAGAGGTCGCCGCGCCCCAGCTCAAGGTACTCCTCTCCCAGTGGGAATTTGGGTGCCAAAGCCGCAGCCACCCTGCCCCACGGGAGGAAGGTTCGCCCCCACTCCCCACCCGTGGCAGGGATGCTGATGTGCCCCGGGGAACCCGTAACGGGAAGGCAAAGCGGTAACTGGGAGCACTTACCCTGGTGCTGTTTCTTTCCAGATGCAGAGGTGTGCTGGTTTCCTGTTTCTGTCTTTAATCCTTTGTGCTGCTCTGTCTGAAACATTGGGACTGGCTTTCTCCGTAAGTACAAACTTGGCTGTTGGAGGTCCTACGCGCTGGGCAGCATCCACGCCTCGCCTGGCAAGAAGCAGTAAATCTTGCAGTGTATTTAGAGATAAGGGATGGACAAGATGCAGCACTCAAAAGTATTTGGGGCAGTTAAACTAAGCTAAGAATTTGGGGGGGTTGAATGCTAGCACCCTTGTAACAAATAATATGACTAAAGGGGAAAAAAAAAAAAGTGTCTAGCTTATAGACCAAAATTGAATGGATGTCCCATCTGACTTGGGAAAGGTGGTGTACATACAGACTTTTTCTTATAAAGAGGTTGTCATGTAAACCCAAACAATTAAAAGAAAACATTGTTGTTTGTTAAGGTGATTATCAGGTAGTAATATAAACTTGGAGTATAAAGTAAAAAATTCTGTCTCCAAAGTGTAATTTGCTGTTTCACTTCTGTGGTATCAAGGTTTCACACCATATGGATATAAACAGCAAAATTATTGACTTAGATGGGGAGGCAGCAAGAGTTCCCCATTAATATTTGCTTCAATATTTTTGGTTTTTATCTTTTACGGTATTTCAAGCCTTCAGAAGACACTTCCTGCTAAGAGAACGCCTGTTTGGGTGCTGTTTGCTTTGTCTTCAGAAAGTACTGCGTAGTTCACGCAATAACATACTTGCATTTTTCTCTTTAAGACAAAAGAAAAAAGGGGCTGGACTTTGAATAGTGCTGGTTATCTACTTGGGCCACGTAAGTCAAGCAATTTTTTTTTTTTTTTTGCATTATTTCAAAATGGTTGAGTGGTGGTGGTTTAGTGGTGGGATGGCAGTGTTAGGTTAACAGTTGGACTTGATCTTAAAGGTCTTTTCCAACCTAAACGAATCTATGATTCTATAAAATAAAGAAGTTGGGTTTTTTTCTTGTAAACCAGTTTGCTGTAGTGTGCTACTCACTCTTCTGATGAATACAGTAATTTTGTCTAAACCTGCAAGGCTGAAGAAACTCATCTGGGAGAATACTTGTTTAGATATGTTACATGCCTATTGTAGAATTGTGTCATCTTAGTCAGTAACTGTTCTTTGCTAAAGCAGAGTTGTGCTGTGAGGCTTTATATCCAGAAGCACATCCAGTCATTCTTTGTGCTTTGGAACTGTAATGTTCATATCACAAATACTCCCCCCAGCCCCCCTGAAGTGTTACAAAATCTTATAGCACCTTAGATGTCAAGGGAAGAGTTACAAAATGGGACATTTTGGCACTTGTCAATGTATTTCAGGTTTCACCTTTAAATCTATTTGAAAATCTTTGCTACCTGGCTTTATTATATTACTAATTTTTTTTTCCAGTTCAAGCAAAACATTAAAACAATAACATGTAAACTCATGACTGTAAATACTAACAGTTCACCACATGAAAAATATTTAATTTTTAAAATACAGGAACACATTGGTTTACAAAGATGGAGAATCACAAATGTAGATTTTATAAGAAAAATGAAATGCAGTGCTAAGCTGTCTCAAGTATCTGTCCTTTTACCATTATTTCTTGTTAATGAAATAACACTTATTACCAGCATTTCTATATTTTCAGTCTCAGTAATACATGATGAATACTACAGACACTTACTATGACTCTCTTCATTCTTTTTAACTAACTTTAAGGATACTTAAAAAAAAAATTAATGCATCTTAAACTTATTAACTGGTTCTGTAAATGTCTGGAAGTATATTTGCCCTGAAGCAGATCCAACCTAATTGGCAAAGATACTGTGGGGCAATGTGTTTGTCAAAGTGCCATTTATCTAAGAATGGATAATAGGAATCATCCTCTGTTGCAGGTCCTATTGATCAGCTTTTACTGATAAAGGAAATGTCCATTGCAAGGGGGAGAGAAGAGGTACCAGGGGCATGTAAGATAGCTTACATGAATAGCCTTCAAAAACTATCTGCAGCTTTCTTTTAAGCAAACTCATTGGCAACATTTTCTAGAAATAGAGGAAAGAGTAGCAAAAACAACTTCCCAAATTACATGTGATTGTACAAACTTACATTTTCTTGACAACTTCCTTCAAATTCAGTAATAGCTTCAGCAAGAAGTATGTAGTACAGGACTGGGTCTGTAAATGAAATGGATCATAAGCACAAATTCAGAAGAAAGGTTATTTTATTTAGTGACACATTAATTGCTTTCTTTGTCATTTTGTACATCAAAAGTGCCCATCGTGATCTTTTCTTTGAAATCTATAAAAAGCAAGCAATATAACAAAGATTAAGTCAATTAACTCCTCTGATTTTTTTAATTTATTTATCAGATGCGGTAGATAACCACAGATCTTTTAATGACAAACATGGTTTCACTGGTAAACGTGAAATACAGCCTGATGAGGATATTAAAGCAGGTAATGAAATTCTGAACGCCAGAATTGTTGATTTGTTTTTTATGTTTAGTAATTTATTTACTGTTAGTGAGTTAACTAACTACCCAGATACAAGGCTATTCTCCTGCACTTTAACAAAAATCCTAATAATGAAAAATCCTAAAAATGAAATTTGGCCTTTCAGTGTGCTCTTTGTACATGGTCACAGTTTAAAACATCTTGGTGCCTAGGGAAAAGTACCATAATTATGGTGCTTTTAAAGTATAATAGATCATATTGCTTTGAATAAACCTAGGTCTTTTCTTTTCATATGTTTAAATAAGTATTTCAAATGTCACCCTAGACACTCAAGAGTTCATTTTTTTCAGCAAAGAACTGAGCCCATAAAGGAATCTTTCAGTAGGGCAAGATACTCCAAG